AAACCCCCCCTGCCAGCCCGGGGGCACGGCACAGCGCGGCACGGCCATGGTTCGGTGACGGGTCCCGCCCGGCTCCGGCACGAGGAGGGGGCAGGCGGGGGCATGGCGTTGCTGCAAACCAGCCCAGGGGGCCACCAGCCGTCTTCCCTGGGGTGGTGGCCCCAGTCTCGGTGTCCTTGTCCCCCCTGCCCCGGCACCCGAAAGCGATGCCAGAGGCACCGCCCGGGAGGAGCCGGGCAGGGTTCAGTCTGCGGGGTCGGTCATGGCCGAGCGCCGCGGGGGCAGAGAGCCACGCTGGCTCCCGGGATGGGGATGGGGCGGGGGGGAAACCCCCCCCCCTGCCCGCTGCCGGGGAAGCGTTCGGCTCCTCCGCTCCGGAGCCGCCTTCCCCATCCCTGCCCTGGAGCCATGCTCGGCACCGGAGCCTTCCCGGATTGTCGGAACCTTCCCGCGAGTCCCTCAGGGATCCCTGGGAGGCCCCCCAAGCAGATCCCGGATCCTATGGGGATCCCCAGTTGCCCCCAGAGGGGATCCCAGATCCCTCGGGGATCTGCAGCTTCCCCGGCCCCACCAACGCTCCTGCCTGTCCCTGCAGGCAGGGCTGGGCAAGAGGAAAACCCAGACCCCGGGGTGCAGCGGGCAGTGACCCTCCGGCGGGGACCCCGGCGCCTCCCCGGCTCCCACCTGCTTCCCAGTTCCTGTTCCTGTGCCCCAGCACAGAGCCAGGATCCCCCTGGGACCCCCAGCCGCCCCGGAGGGTATCCCGAGTCCCTTGGGGATCCCCGGGCGGGGCCAGAGCAGATCCCAGATCCCTCGGGGAAGGGTGGGTCCCCCCCCCCCCGCCCCCCCCGGCCGATACGGCAGCTCCCGGCGGTGCCAGCAGCCTTTCCCCCGGGTTCGGCAATGCCCAAGTCACCCGAGCATCTCCTCCCGGTTATCTGCGGGGTCCTCTTGCCCTGGGTCCCCCACCAGCCCCGGTCCCACGCAGCCCTCCCGGCGCCTGCCACGAGCATCCTGGCAGAGACGGTGC